TAGGTGTATGTGGCTGGCGCCTTAGCTGCTTGAGCCACAGGCGCCGAGCCAAAGTTAACAATTTTCATAAAGAAGTACTCCCTAGAAATGTAAATCAGACCCCTAATGTAAAGATAGGTCGCAGTAGAAGCACAGTCTTGATATGGTAGCTAAATAAAGTGCTTATTGTAATAAAATTTCAAAGAGATGATATTGTCTAATTCATAAAATCATTAAACTGGGATAGACTTAACCTACAGAAAGCAAATGCAACTTTGCCTACACTAAGTTAAAAGGTATAATTGTTCACCTTTCTCCCTCCATGAAATAGAATAGTTTTTCAGAAATACTGAACAGGAAAGTAATAGCAAATAAGAGCTTTTCATCATAAACAAATAGAAACCATATTAGGAACTTCTTTCTAAATATTGATATAATGAAAGGGCAAACATTTCAAATGAATGCCACATATGAAGCTTATTTTACTAACATAGAAATATAAAGAGTTAATAATTAATTTATTTTAATTTTTTCCCTTCTTAACTATAAAGCTATTGTTTTCTGACTCAAATGATGTTATGTAATTGTGGCACACACAGTCATGCTCTTTAAATACTTAGAAAATAATAAGCAAAATTTGGTGAATGTGAGCTTTATTGCCTAGAAATCAAATGTTTATGGTATATCTGTGGGGAAATGTACCGATGTCTGCAGCTTCCTTTGCAGTGCAGTAACAAAAAAATAAGATGAATTGATGGATGGATAGAGGAATAGATAGATAAGACAAAGCTATTGCTTAAAATGATAATCAGAATCCTAGTGGTAGATATATATTCTTTCAACTTAGCTGTATTTTTATAAATGTTTATAATAAGATATTAGAGAAGATAAATGGGAGTTAATAGTTATACTTAGAATTTAGAGAAAATAAGAAGTTTTAATTTATGTTAAAATATATACGATAAGCAAAAAAAAAAGTAATTTTGTACTAAAAAAGTTGTTAACCAATTCCATTTCTAAGTGGCTTTTAAAGTTATACTTTTCATCAGTGTCACATAAAGTGAATAGAACAATGATACAAAATCATTTCAAATAATATGGATACTAAAAATGTTACTTAAGAATATTCAGACAATAAGACTTCTATTCATCTGTAGAGAACAACTTCCTGGTCAGATCATATGAAAATGCTGGGTAAGATATTTAAAATATTTGTCAAAGTATGGTTGAGAAGGCAAGAAACTAATGAAATCAGAGGTTGAAATAACAAGAATGCTTGATCCTAGAAGAGTAAGCAAACTAAACATTTGTCTTGAGGCTATCTTGTGGCACCTGGCAGTGAGGTGCTTGGTTTACAAAGGCTGTGCACTATGAGAATAGGAGAAACAACTGAGGGCTCAGTCAGAGTGGGAAATTGGATCAGTGATTCCTACATAAATCTAGGACCCTTGAAGGCCAGCATCCTTCCTGGGGAACTAGAGAAAAGGTATAAGATGCAAAAAGGAATGGTGGGCATAGTGATAAACTTGTGGGAAAAGTTTAAACAAAACTTAGATATATAATGGATGTATACTAATGTCTAATTCTAGGGGTTAAAAATTATGATAAAGTAAAATCCTGGAAAATAACAATATATAATTGAGAAGGAGAGTGAAGAAAGTTAAAACATTCTGAGGTCCTTATATTTTTTAAGATGAAGGTAAAGATAGTTATTAATTCTCAATTTTATTAAATAAAGTATACATGGTAAAATGTCTAGGGTAATCACTAAAAGAAAAGAAATAGTGCATAAAATTTTCA